AGAGAGATCTCATAGAGCAGCACAGAGCTTCTGGTGAGCAGCGAGGTGCCAGGGCTATAAATAGCCCGTGCTGGGCTCCTGGCTGGGACGAGGAGCTGCTTTAATGACATGCACAGGGGCATATTAGGACACAGCCAACTGGCACCAGTGCTGCTCTCCTTCCCCCCTGCCCGTATGCTGCCTGGCCGGCCGCCTGCCAGACTCAGTGCTAAAAAGCAGCAGGCTCCTCTGTGGGATGGCACAGCCACCGCTTGTGTCAGTGGCCCACCTAAAGAATTATGTCGCCCCCAGGGACCTTGCCACGGGCACACAACTGGGCACACCTCTGGGTTGTTTCTGGGCGGCTGGAGCAGTCCCAGCGTAGGCGGTGGTCAGACTGACTCCCACTTACCACTGAGGTCTGGGTACCAAAGCAGAGGAGATGCTGTTGCCCGTTGACCCTACCCAAGCCGCTCTCAAAACCAAGGCCACTGTCTCTACAGCTGAGAGGAACTTCCCCAGACTGTTTCGTTTGCCCTTGCTAGATCGCTAAGAGCTGAAGTTGTGCATAAAATAAGGATTCCTGACCGAATGTGTTATCAGTATATTTTTAATCAGACATAAGGCCCGACCATCTTCTTGTTTGTGTTGATGTAAATCAGAAACAGATCCACTAAATTGGTCCAGAATAATGGGGCTGCACTGATTTACACCAGCTGCAGATCTTGTACTTTGTTAATTAAAGGGGAATAGGGAGGGCCATAATACGCTATTTATATCTCCATATGTTTAAGCAAAGATGGAAAAAGGATTAAGCAAAAATTAGGGTTGTAAAATTGATTAATGTTGAGCCTATACTTTCAGCTGAGAAAGACATTAAAGGGTTTTCAGAGTGTTCTTTTTCAAATGGCATTAATTTATTTATTCGCTGTACTAATTGGTTGATTGATCATAATAGCTTCTGAGAAAATTGAAGATGACATGTATTTTCATATCTAGATTTTTAGTCTGATGGTTTTATTACAGAGTTTTTCCAAAAGCCATGGAGGGATCATTCAGGAATGTTCAAATGTTAATAGTGGTTTGTTGTTTTTAGGGGAAAAATTAAGATGTACATGATCATCTTAATGATCTACATGCTTTTTTTAAAAAAATGCATATTTCATATCATTTGTGAAGAAAACTAGGAAAAAAATCAAAATGATAAGTTTACTCATGTCAGAAAATTTGATAGATCAGATTACAAAGATATATATTGTCTAAACTCCCAAATTGTTCTTATTAAAAGTTCAGCTTTATCTTAAAAATAAAAATAGCCAATCTGATACTACAGCTTTCACAGAAGCCAAGATGGAACGGTGAACTGATAAAATGCCACAGCTGTGATAAAAATGGACCATATCCCCTATATTGCCTTGTTCTCCTGTTACATGGAACAATTTATAGTATAATGATGGTTAACATGGAGTGTTTATGTAATACATTTTATTTATATGAAACCACTTCACTACCATAATAAAAATCATGTTTCCTTTATGGGTGCATTGCTTCAGCTAATTTCTATGATGAGCCTGTTTTACAAAACCACTAACTAATGCTTTTAAGACAAATTCCTTTTTATCGTTCATGAAATTCTGAATATTTCTCTTGCACTTCAACGAATTAACCAGGACACCCCATCCTGCAGCGGGGCGACCGCTGGGCGGCTCTCAGCAGCACTTTATAATTGCACAAATGGAGTAACACCATGGTGAATCAGAGCCCCAATATTTTTGCGAGAATTAAAAGCTTTCTCTGCTGTAAGCCTATCTGTTTTCACCTTCTTCATGCAATTAAGTCGTAATCCTTTTGTTCTTACATCATTATCTGTTGTCATGGTAATTTTAATTATAAAAATGAATGGCTGAGAAGTGGGCGAAGACAAAAGTTTTTGCTGAAATTCGTTAAGTTAATGGCAAAGGGAAAAATATCTGTAGTAATACAACAAACGCCTGATCTTTTAACACAGCGTATTTTAAAACAATGATAAGAAGTAGGTGTCAGAGACACATTTGATGTGAATATTTCAGTGTTTAGGAAATATGTGTTGAATTTAATGTTTTAGAACAATTTTTGCATGGCACCAGTCATACAGTCCCTTCTGGCGTTGCATGGACAAAGAAATTCCTTTCTAAATCTCAACTGCTAGTGATTCACCTATTGGAAAAAAAAACATTTTTTAGGCAAAAGTCTGACCAGTTTCCAAGAGTGTGTTTTCCTGAGTACAGTCTTGGGAACAGCTACACAACATTTACAGTTCATCCGAAAGCAGAAAACCTGTTTTGAAGGGCGTTGTGCATGCAAATTGTCCATAGGTGAAGATACGCCATGGCTTGCAATGAGCGGACCCACAAGCCACGGTCAGTCACAGCTGAACTTTAGAAGAGACCTGCATCAGCTCAGTTAGGCTCTGGGTGGTATGTGGCAGCTATCAGGACGTGGTTTTTGCTGCCACTGAAACATTGCAACCAATGTGCTGAACTAAACTCATCTCTGTCACTCTTGTTATGGTTCTGCAGTTTTGCTCTGGCGCGCTCTCTGCTGACAAATACACAGTTTTATACAGACACGTCATTAAATGGTGGCACAACATTGTAGCTCGGAAAAGGAGAGCCTCACGCTTGTCTCCATACCCTTGGGTGACTCCCCAGTGTGGCCACTGCTCTTTGCTCCTCCCGGCTCAGAAATTCCCCGGGCTCCTCAGCCTCTTTTCCTGGACAGTGAGGCAGCCTCTGATTTTATTTATTTTATTTTATAGTTTGGGTTGGAAGGGACCTCTAAAGGTCATCAAGACCAACCCCCCTGCCATGGGCAGGGACATCTTCAACTAGATCAGGTTGCTCAGAGCCCCGAACAACCTGACCTTGAATGTTTCCAGGGATGGGGCATCCACCACCTCTCTGGGCAACCTGTTCCCACCACCCTCAGCGTAAAAAATTTCTTCCTTATACTTAGTCTGAATCTACCCCCCTTTAGTTTAAAGCCATTCCCCCTTGTCCTGTCGCAACAGGCCCTGCTAAAAAGTTTGCTGCCATCTACCTCACATATGCTTTACCTCCCGTATGTGAGTAATTCTGTGATGTCCGTTCACCCACTTGGCGTTAGCCGTGTGTGGAAGCGCTTCCAGGCTGGCTGCAGCGGTGATGGCACCGGCACCGCTCGCTGCCACCGCTGCTCCCTCCTCCCGGCACGTCCCACGTGGGCAGCTTTGGCATCCTGCTGCTTGGGCAGAGAGCCGGAGTGCATTCAGACCCTGATGGTGGGTTTGGACCACAGTACACCAGGTGCTCTACAAATGGAGATTATTCTATTTGTATTATGTTACAACCAGTAATGTTATTTTGGTTATAATATCCATATATACAGTGCCAGTTTGGATACGTAGGGAGAGAAAAAACAGAAACAGAGAGATTTCCAGGTTAAACCCATTATCTATTCTCTTATGTCAGACCAAATACAACATTGACTTTTTTTTTCTTAGGGTAAGTGTTGACCTTTAGAGCAGACCAAGGGCAATCTTGAGCTCGCCTGTGACCACCGGTCCGGGGGGCAGCACCCCTGCAGTCCCGCTGAATTGAAATCTCTTTCTGGCTCTGTCAACCTGATTCCCAGGTTGCCTGACAGATAATGTGGCATGCCAGCCACCCGCTGCTTTTTCATTTAAATAAATGAGAAAGTTGTGGCTAAATTAACACTCCAGCGGAGGTAATAAGGACCGACTCAGCAGCTGCCATGATGTATGCAAATTGCAGTTTCACAGTTAGGAGCTAGATGTTGCTTAATTTGTAGGTCTTTCTGTCTTTTAAATGAAAGAGCCTCCCTCAATTCAAGTGATTTTAAAAAAAAAAAAAAGCCAAAAGAAAGCCCCCAAAGTCAACTACTCACCAGTGCTTCTAACTGCACCTACAGTCTTTCTTCTGGGGTTTCCCCCCCAGTCCCCCGATAAGCAGTTATTACTGAGTAATACTGCACTGCCAGATGCTTTTAGGCAAAATATCTGCTGATTTCCAATGAACACACAGCCCGATTAAGGAGGTACTGCCGGCCCTTTGGTATAAACGTAAACCTGATTTTTTTTGCAGTGATGCCACAATCCAGAAGCTCAACATCCATCAGTTTTTTTCCTCTGGAAATGAAATTGTAATGGCACAAAGGAAGACCTGTGATAGCCACCAGTTAATCAGACAGAAAGAATGGGCTGATAGGAGAGCATTTTTTCTCCTTTTTGATCAGTAGACATGGGAGTGGAGATGCAAAGAAGCACGTAACTGGATGGGGTTTGTGGAAATGCTGTTCTGTACATTAGTTCTAGTGCTTTTTAATCTCTCTAAGAAAATTATGGATATAACTGTGTTAGGGTCAAAAAGATTTCTAAATGGACACCAAAACTGAAACTCAGGAAGGGAAGCGCATACTCGGAATAGCAGAACTTGGGGCCATTAGAAATAACTATAATGTTTCTCAGGGTATGTACTGCAAGAGGAAGCAAAACCTTAAAAACATTGTAAATTAGATTTTACCTGGCTCAGAAATGTTGCAGCCACAGGATATAAGGCTAAAAAATGCTCCAGACTCACCCAGTCTTTCCCAGTTTTTTTTCAGAAAGACAGAGGTTTCATTCTAAAATAAATTCCATTCAAATGATTTGGGGTTTGCCTATCTTTTTTGCTCTCCTGACCTACATGGTCAGTCCTCAAAAGCTATTGCCACAGATCTTTGAATTCTTTCGGAGGAGATGCTCTTTCCTCCACTCTGGTCACCAATTCCTCCATGCTCAATTCCTGTTCCTGCATGTCACCTCCTTAGCCTTCACTTATCCCTTCCATAACCTAGAGATACCTTAGTGACCCCTGGCATGCCGTTAGCAAAGAAATAGCAAGAACTTGACCTGTCTAGTCATTATTTGGCTGCATGTGTTGAAACACACTGTCACATGAAAATGCAA